ATGTTCCACAGTCAAAGGCCTTGCTGTAGCCTAGAAAGCATAGACTGATCTTTTTCTAAAATTATTTCATGCACTCCAGGAGTCATCGTATATTTGTGATATGGTCTATTCTTTATTTTATTTTTTTTTTATTTTTTTGGAATCCAGCTTGTTGTGTCACAACCTGAAATTGGAATTGATTTAGTTAGCATTGTTGCTGCCTATGTACACAAGATACTCAACATTGTGAAGCTGCAAAATATTGTTGTTGTGTCACAAAGGTTAAGTAAAATTCCTTGCCATTTTCTGGTGGGTATTCCTATTTGGAGGTGTTTTGTTTTGTTTTATAAAATGCTTCTGAAAAACTGTATTGCAGAAGTGTTTTGATATCTCTTTGGTCTTCATTATGCTGCTTATTAGACCTGCTCTCCGACTAACTCTGGCACTTCTCACAAACAGGTGTATTAAATCTGCAGTCATGTGGCAGTGGAATCGCACACAGGAGGGTGCCATTCATGTATGAGAAGTTTGTGACCTCTGGAGCAGCCCAGTGGAGGCAGTGGGTTGCTCCAGAGTCTATTCAGGCACATTGCAATGAAGGGCCGAATCAGCAAATGTCAGTTTGTTTTTCTTTACTTAACATTTGCTGCAGAACAAAACTGTCCTCACAGTGCAGCTTCTATTCACTGTGAGGGGCCTGAGGACTGCACTCGCTCCTGAGGGATACTGACTCCCCACCTGTTTTTCACATAGTTTTGGGGCTCCTTCCCCTCATATTCTCTTGTTATGAGACCTCTTTTAAATTGTGTGCAAGCTCTGGTTTTTTTCTTCCCTCATACTCATTTCTCCCTTCAGTGGGGATAAATAAACCCCAGATCTGGGTTCTGAAACATGGCACCTCAGATACCATCTGTAGCATCTTCCAATAGCATCTCTGGCCAGGTTCATGTTTATTTCTTAAGTCTGTTTGACTATTTACAGAGGTGCTGAAATGCTGCAAAGCAGAGTCCTACCCTCTTATTTGGGTTCCAGAGAGTGCTTGTACGTTTTGGAGCTCAGACTGCCCCTCTGCTCTGGACCAAAGTTGCACCAGAAAATGAAGGCTGTGTGCCCGACACCATAGCGCTGATTTTGTGAAAGCAGCACCCTCTCAAGGATCCACATGAGCCGAGTGAACTTCCAAGGAGTTATGAGTGCTGCTCTCCCTCTTCCTCTCCCTCTTCTCTGTTTTGTTATATTTTCCATTGTATGTTCCTCCTGCAGTGGGGAGAGGGGGATTGGGGGCCTCTTCATCTCCCTGTAGTTCAAACCCAGATCACACAGACCCCTCTGCCCATGTAGGAGTTGTGCTGTGGTGGCACAATGTGATTTCATAAGCTGGGTCGGGATACAAACCAGAGCCCTGGGTTCAGACTTCACATTAACCTTGCCAGGGACTAGCATGTTGGCCTGTTAATGACACCACCAGGTTTTTAAAAAAACCTGGGTGATTGTTGCAAGTGAACTGGGCCATTGTGAGTGGAAAGAGACTGTTGCTTCCTTAATTTATGCACTGCCTTTTAGCCAGTAGCAGCTAAATGAAACCCCCATGTTTAGAGGCAGGGCACAGAACGCAAGAAAAGAAGAATGGACACTGACCCTGAACACACAAAACAGACAGCACCTTCATTCAAACCCAGCTGGTGAACTGCTGAGACATCTGATAGCAGGGACATTGCAGTCATTCAAATACCCACCCCCTGCAAACCAACCAACCAAAAATATCACTTTCCTAGCCATGTTTGCATTATCACCATTACTTTCCCATGCAAGAGTCCAGTTGGGACATTCTGAAAACATTCATACCATTTCTTTACTTGAAAAAATATTTTTTGGATTTAAAAATGCTGTATAAGGAAGTAATATTCACTTACCAGCTCTGCATGTTAAGGAGAAGATAAGTCTCACCTATTATCTTATTAAGCTTGAGTCTTTTGGAGGGTTCCATTGGTCATCCTATTTGCTTTGGATGGTATGACAGCACCCTCTAGTGGGAACTAATTTATTTTAATTTTTATTTCACTTTCTTGAAATGATGCTTGAACAGTTTCAAGCACGGTATAAGGAAGGGGAGAGATATAGCACTCTTACATCAGTTACAGAGCCATCAAGCACAATATTTTGGGTACAGTTAATAGCAGACTTTGCTTCCCATTTGCAATGTTATATACTTGGGAATAAGTCACAATGGTCTCAGTAGGTGTACAGGATTATCCATAACCTTTAATTGGTTATAAACTGTCCAGAGAGCTTTGGCTATGGGGTAGTATAGAAATAAAATAAACAAATAAATATACAATCGTATGCATATTTAGATAGGAAATAGCCCCAAAACCGGTTGAGGCATGCTGGGGGTTGCAGACATACATTGCATCCTTCATTGATTAAGGTTCTTGAATGAGTTTAAAAGTTTCCCAAATAACTGCGAATATGTCTTCCTTCAGAATCACTGTATACAAGCATCAAGGCAAAACAGGGGTGGCTGGTATCAGAAAGGATGGAAAGCCTTTTCCAATTGGTTCTTGCTGTGAAATTAGAATATGCCTTGTACAAATCCCACTATAGATGACAAGTAATAGTAGAGTACCCACACTTTTTAGCACATTGGTGTGGAAAATAATCTGTATTTTTTGTATAATCTGTATAATTTTTTGTATTATATTTGGTTATTTATGTAAGCTGTTCCGAGGCGTTAAGCGATGGAACGGCATATAAAAACTCTAAATAAATAAAACATAATTGCTATATGCAGCAGGATTCAACACGGTATCCCGTTAAACTAATGGGAAGTTTATAGGATGTGCTTTCCAAAATAGTTTGTTTTTTTCTGGCCCCATCTAAGTCTTGGGCGCATCTTTCATTCTGAATCCAGAATGATGCCAATTCTCTATTATGGAGTCTCGTGGACTCTATATGCAGTGCCATCCCTTTGGTTATGAAATGCGGCTTCTGAAGTCCAGCCTACATAAGCACAGAACAGACCCTTAGCTTGCTTGGAGGAATGGGGTGTGTGAATGCTTCCCCCACTCTTTTTGACCATATAAGCTGCCATGACTGTTTTGTAAAGCAATTCAGAGGGGGAGGATTTGGAATGGGGAGGACATTCAGAAGACCACAGAGAGAGTGAGTGAAAGAGAATGCCAGCTCTAGCAAGCAGCATAGGAGAGAACTGCAGCCAAGGAGCTTCACACAACATTCATCTAGCATCACCTTCGAGGCTATGGCGGTCAACTCTCCAAGTACTTCTTTACATGATTCTTTTAACCCATCACTTTATCAGAGCTTCTGCATTCGTTTTCTTTGTGGTATCAACAGCAGGTCCTTTCTATGTTTCTATTTCCAATGGTGCAAAGCTCAGGGAACCAAGGTTCACTTTGGATGCCAGGAAGCACTTCCTGACAGTTAGGACCCCGAGGGTATGGAATGGGCTTCCACGGGAGGTGGTTGAGGCCCCATCGGTGAGGGTGTTCAAGGATAGGCTGGACATGTACATGGTAGGTATGTCATGAGCAGAACTGGCTGGAGTTGAGGATCAGACAAGATGGCCCAAGAGGCCCTTTCTGACTCTCTCTGTTTCTATGTTTCTACAAATGTTTCTTCCTCCCCCCCGCCTTTGTCTTTTTACATATTTTAATACACAACCACAAGGTGTAACCATGGTACAGTTGCAATACTACATAACTGCAAAACATAAGTTTTTTGCATGGCGTTACAGATGCATAAGCAGTTGGATATTTATTTATTAGATTTATATCCCACCTTTCTCCCATTGTGGAACTCAAGGTTGCTACATGCAGTTTCCAGCTGGTCTTCCCTCCAAGCTAAGGTCAGCCCTATACCTGCTTAGCGTTAACATTATGTGCCTTTTGTACCTTCAGACCATACTCTGGGCCATATTATGTGTGAATAACTGTATAGATCAAGAATCTGAACATACATGCATTAAACTCTTCTCAGCTTCTCCTACTGGGTTCTTGTGAAGTTAAACAGGAAGAGCACTGCTCTATTCAGTGCGGAGGAAAGTGAAGACACATAGTGTGGTTCCTTACATTCTATTCACAACCTGCCTTTCTTCACCAGGAATATCTGAAGTTTATTAGGGCTCCTGATCATGTTGAGCTCTGTAATTGCATTACCTGAGCAGTTTCATTTCTGATTCCAGGTGAACCTGGGGAAGTCAGAGGTGGAAGAGGCAGGGCCGCAGACTCTTTCCCATTTGCCATTGCTTACCCATTTTGAATGACCGCATAGGGCTGATGAGACTCGTGCAAGACCCCTTGAGGAAGAAAAATGGAATTAAAATGTAATTTTTAGAAGGAATTTAATGTGTAGGTGCCTGGTCCACTTGTTTTTATCTCCAGCTTATCATTATTCATGCACACCTATTTCTTACATTTCAACAATGTCCTAATAGGGAGCTGGTAAAATTAGAAGATGCATACCTAGCAAAAGAGGCAGCAAGTTGCATCCGCTCACTTCCATTTTTGGTATTTTAACTCTCATCAGGATAATTATAGTGGCATGTGAATCTTGCCATTGCAAATGTTAAGTTGTTGTTGTTGTTTTAAATTTGGGGCTGGTATGTCTATGTCAGGAGAGCTGATGAAGATGTGGGAATGTCTGTATAATTTGGGTTTGGTGAGTTGCCAAAGAGCATGAATTGAGATAAGTTTATCAGTGGTTTTGAATTAGGTATTAAATGTCCCAGAATATACCACTGGATCCTGGTCATGTGCCTCTGACGATATTCAAAATTTCTAAAATTGTGGCCAATTTAATAACCTATTTGTGTGGTATCCCTGGTTTATTATTTTCATCCCCCAAATGGATCCACATAGGTGCAGAGCCATGCAACTGAATCTGCATTACACCATGCCTGTGTCAGAGAGCCAAAACATCTCAAGATGTAACATGTTGCAGGCTACAGGACCTGGATGTCCACTGATGCTTTTTCTAATACACTGTTATTTTTCTCACTCCAGCAGAAAAAAACTGTGGACCACCACCTAGAATGGAAATAGAAGAACTTGCAGAAACCCAAGTCAAACAGTTTTATTCACATAATGATGTGGTACAGTATAACTGCCGGCCAGGCTACATAAAACTTGGACGCATTAAATATCAATGCAATAATGGAGAATGGAAGAAAACATTTCCACCAGTAGAATGCAGAAGTAAGTACTAATATAAGCTGGAAAAAATCACAAAAGCAGGGCATGGAAGCACGTGGAGCAGGTTATTTACTACTCTGTGGTCAGCTTGGAATCTCATTTCTGAATATTTTAAACTGGTTAGGTTAAAAGTAATGTTACTTTTCATGACTTCATGTCATGCTAACAGGAGAGGATATGTTAGTATTCCTCATGAGCATCACATTTGCTAGATCTAAGTGTTAAGTTGCATTGCATGCTACTTTTTTAATTTACAGAAAAACCTTGTGGACATCCCGGAGATGCTCAGTTTGGCACTTTTGAACTCACTGTCGGAGAAGACTTTTCCTATGGTTCTCGTGTTGAGTATCGGTGTGATGACGGGTACAACTTTTTTTTTCCTTCTCCAGACCATTTATTTTCAGAACTAGAATATAGCACAAGTATATAACATGATTTCTGCTGATAAAATAATTATCTAGATTAATGTATCAATTGATCAAATTATATCATATTTTTGCAAGAGATTTGTATGAGCAGTTGTGAGCTGGTGCTGGAATGCTCACCAGCCCCTGAAAAGCCCTCCAATCTTGGATGGATTTCTCTCCTAGCAATTACCCTTTGAGTCACAAACTGTTCTTGATTAGTACAATGTCCGTTTTTGACATGTAATTCTATCATTGCTTTAACATATTTTTATTTCATTAAAAAAAAAACTCTTCTAGGTACCAAATGCTCAGCCATACAAACTATCGTATCTGTCAGGTAGATGGATGGAGCAATGATGTCCCTCACTGTGAAGGTAAGTGGATTTTCAAAGACATGACCTTAGGCATGTTGAATGGCAGCTGAGCTTTCTTAGCTCTAGCAGCAGCACCCGCCTCACCTGCAAAGATTGTCCTGGAATAAGGAATGTTACATGAATGGGAAGCATGGTGCAGTGTTACACAAACAAGCAGCATGTGAAACAGCTTGAACTGAAGGATAAGCACAAGTGGCTCGAATTTACAAAATTTACAACATACGTAATTTAGCTACCATTTACAAATTAACAAATTAAAGAACAATTCCAGTTGAATAGCGATTTGCCGTAAAAGTTCCAGAGAGACTTACAACTACCTGTCCTAAGCAAAAGAGGCAGGGTTATTTGGATTCAGATGTTGGTTTGTCAGTCAGGGAAGAAAGCAGTGAAACAGAATTATCTGTTGAGAAAAGTCCATTCATTTCACTCCACAAGAGCTACAGGCTGATGTCGCCCAGGGTTTTCTGTGCTTACTATTAACCTTCAGCTGAGCTCCCATGGTTCTGGTCAATACCTGTCTTACTGCAGATTTGTGAAATCCTTTAGGTCATTTGAGCTCACGGCCAATGGGAAAATGTATTAATTTTAAAATGAGAGGGATGCTGCACCTTGGTTGGTGGAATGGTGCCCACAAGATCCACATTGCCTACAAATAGAAGCATGAGATAGACAATAAAAAGCACGGCATAGAGGACTATGCTTTAGGGCACAATTCTTATTTATGTAATTCATTTAAAAGCATGTGTAAACATGGAAAGTCCCACAAGTCCCACAATTCTCTAGCCAGCAAGGGGAAGGTACTCTTTGTGCTCTTCTGTAACCTATCACTGATGGTTAAACCAAGAAAACTCATGCAAGCTGCTCCTGTACAGTAAGGCAGGACCAAGCTATGTATTATGTTATTAGTTTTCTTTACTCCAAAGTAAGCACATGTGGCCCCCTTTCAGATCAGAGGCATGGTGTCTGAAAATGGGGGGATTACACTTCTTTTTCTCCCTAAAATTACACCCTAACACCACCACAGGAAGTACCCATTAGTACCAATGGAGTTACTTCTTCTTCTTTTTTTTAATCTCCAGCCAGTGGATTTGGGGGGTTGGGGGTGGGGGATGTGGGGAGATTTAACTCACACACTGCAGGATTTAACTTCCTGCAGTGCAAAGCGAACCAGAGCAACACATGCATTCATGGGAGCAAAGAAAATTAGGGTAACATGTAACAAGACTCTTATATGTCATTGGTCAGGTTTACTTGTCATGGAACTATACTCCATTGATGCTGTATTTTGGTTAATCCGGCAAAATACAATAAAGGCAACAAAGTTTTCTGGTTCTGCAGAACTCTTCATCACACTGGATGGTATAAAAAGCAGGGTGTATGTGGTGGTGAGGAGAGTGCAAAGATTGGACCAGTTGCTGTCGGCATGAAGCAGCTAAGGCTTATCTACAGCTAAGGCTCAGAGTCAAGATGGAGAGTGCAGACTGCATGAGTTAGTCCCTCGTAGGTGTATCTGATACACCTTTCATTCTGGAACAAGGAAGATATGACTGAAAAATGCAAGAGGCAGCCCAACTGTAACTCAGACCTTTTTCCTGTCATGGTTGAAAGTCCCATGATCCTGGGTAGGCAGAGAACAGAAGCAAACTTGGCAGTCTTTGTATTAGTGAAGAGAGGTTAATTTACAATAATGCACACAGTAAAAATGTCATTTGAAGTAAAATTGTTTCGTACTACCTTGGAAGGAGAGGACCCCTCAAAATGCAAAACTCTCCATCTCTCCCTTTTGGACCAACCAGTCTGAAGAAAAGTTCTGGAGAACTTCAAAGCCTGCATGGTCTTTTACAGCATTTTGTTTAATCCTAATAAAGATATTCTGCCCTGACATTAAATTCCTTCTGGATTTTGTTCCCTCATGGACCAACACAGCTAAGCTATTTTTGCTTTTTGTCTGTTGCTAATGCGTTCCAGTATGGTCCTGTATGATGTAAATGTTTGGCATAATTCCTTCTGTTGATTCTGTGTGCAAATCTGTTTATAGCAATCTATAACCAGTCTGAAAAAATAAGGCATATAAGACACCTTTGTAGAGGTGCCTTTGTAAGAGCAACCTGTTTTCTCAGTATATATGTTTAAACACCTAAAACAGTGTCTCATCCTTGCTGAAGAAAAACTTAACAGCAACAGGAGTGGGAGTGAGCTACTTTTCCAGTGAAGCAGGAAAGTTAATTCAAGGAGTAATTCTGTAGTAATTACAGAGCTTTGTCCTGTTTTCTTGCTGATGATTGAAAATTGATCCTACTATATCTTATAACAACAATTAATTTATTTATTACAGTACGGAAATGTTTCCCAGTAAAAGCACCAGTTAATGGAAGGATGGTTATGACGGGAATAGATGATCCAAACCAAGAATTTCTGTTTGGACAGGTGGTACGATTTGAATGTAATGAAGACCTTAAAATCGAGGGACCTGATCAAATCTTTTGCACAGATAAAGGAGAATGGAGTGGAGTCGTTCCAAAATGTGTGGGTTAGTGCATC